ACAAGGCACCCTTCACCAGACTCCTGAAAGAAAGAGCAGATGATTTACAGTTTCATGCATACTCATGGGCTGCATTATCTGCTCAGTACCCGTGCTTATGAATATCAGGAAAGTGCAACCGTGGCCACTGACTGCCATTCAGGTTTGCATTATGACAAAATGCAGAACAGGAAAGAAGGAATCTATATGGGAAGTGACACAACCTCTACTGCACTGGAGAGTTCAGGGATAAGGGGCAGGATTTGTGTGACAGTTTCTTCTTGTCCTCCTCACAGAAGACAAACAAGGATCAGTGCAGCTTCCTCTGATACCCAGACTACAACATTTCCTGGAGCATGGGCCTCAAAGAAGCAACCTTTCTTGGCCAGAATTCCCTTTTCAGCCTCATCCATCACAGCAGAAACTTAGGCTGCAGGACAAGTGGTGGGATCATGGCCCAACCCAAACAAGAGGAGAAAGGGAAGGATGGCTTCCTGCGTCACCACAGCCAGCAGGAGTTGGCAGACTAGGTCTCTTGGTTTGGGACAGGCTTCCTTACTAGGGGATCATAATTAAAATCAAATCAATTTACTCCAAATCAAATGGGATTCTTTATTTTTAATTCAGTAGAGTCTAAAGCATCCGGTACAACAATTTAGAAAGGGGATGCTTTTTGCCTTAATGAGCTTCCTTTGTCAACTAAGAAAGCAAGCTAAGTATTGGAGAAAGGACATGGGATTATTTTCATTTTACAGATGAAAAATGAAGGCACAGAAAAACCTGCAGCAAAGTAAGGAATTCAATCCTTGTCTCCCAAGTCCCCATCCAGATGGTACCACACTGTGATGATGAAAATGACATGAACACATGGATGGATGTTGTAAACCTATCCCATCAGCATTATAGAAATTTATGACTAACATCAGCCTTAAAGAGGATAAAAGCAAGCTTAGGAGAAAGAGAAGGACAAACACCTAGTCATTTCTGATTTGCACTGAATGTGTAGAAAGAGCTCATTAAAATGAACCAACTGGAAGAGATTATTTGAAAATACCACACAAACAAAGCAAAGGGGGAATCTGTTGAATTTATGACCTGTGCACAGGAATACTCAATGGACTCTTGTTCATGTCAGCATGGGCTATTGCATTAATTTTCACTTACAAAGTCTTACTATTCAGAGATGAAAGATGACAGGCTGTTGACATTATTTAAGTTTTAGGACTGACAATTAAAATAAAAAGAAGTCCCATGGCACAAATGAATATTCTCATACTGAGGCAGAAACACGCACACTCAACCCACCTCCACTGTAAACCCTATGTATTTGGGTTTGCACTAAACCTTTTAATCTTCCTTTATTATACAGCATGCTGCAACATTTAAGGCTGCCATGCAAAGTGCTACATAAATTACAGCTTTGCTGAATATCAGACTGCACATGAAGTTGGCATGCTAGTCCCACACAAAGTCTAAAATAAACCTCTTGCTTATATGCTGGAAAAAAATCTTAATTATTGCAAACCTTTGTAACTTGAAATGATGTCTTATAAAGGGAAGGAAAGAATATGGTGCATAGAGATGTTTAAAAGTGGCTTGGGCAGCTACATCAAGGCTTCTTTCTAGTGCTAACACATTATGTGTTTGTTCTCAGGACCTAGCATCCCATAGCAGTCCTCTCCCTGAGAACAGCACAGCTGAAACCACAGTGATCATTTATTAGACTAATTTGAAGCTATGCAATTCAAAATTATAATGATAAATTTCTCTTTTCAGTCCTTGTGAACTATTGTGGACATGCTGTGTCAGTTCACTCACAGTTGACTTTTGGAGTGAGAGAAAGAGAGAGAGAGGGAGAGAGAGAACAAGCTCATGCATGCACATATCCAGCTTTAAGTGTTTTCTACATGGATCCTCAGAAAATTGGACAACAGGAAGCAATTTATACATTATATATGTAGAACTCGAGAAATGATAGAGTAGGTTTGCCTCAAACAATGGTGACCCACCTGGGACTACTGAAATATAAGTGTTAATAATGCAGAAGCTTTTACACTCCAGCCATCCCTTAGTTTTATAGGGTAAAACTCAGGTAATCAGGCTTTGGAGTTAGCTCCCTATTGAAAAGAATTAAGATACCTTTCCAAAGATAATTCATCTTTGCCCCTTGTTCCAGAATGATGGAGTCCTCTTGTAGATAGTATTAATTATTATTATTGTAATGCTTCAGAGCACAAGAAGCAGCAGCCCATTGCAGCAGGTGCTGTACAAATTGTGGTCCCTGCCCCACACATCTCAGCATCTTGCTAAGAGCAGCAATGCTGAGAGGAGCCGATACAGGTAAGCACACACATTACACAGTGCAGCTTAGCTGCATGCTAGTGCCCAGAGGGGATTTACAGGCAGGGGCAGCAGGTCAACCTTTCTCTTTCATACACAGTGACTGGCCGACTAAGGCCCTCAGGTTATCTATCTGCAGCAGATTCAGCTGAAAGTTTTGTCACAGCTGGTCATGCCATACATGAGAGAAAATTCTAGCCATCCTTTTACCAAATACAGGAGCAAGACTGCCCAACCAAACGCTGAAAACTATTCACTGACTGCTATCTACTATACGAAAGCTCTGACAAACAGAAATCCTTGGAGGAAGGAAGGACAGTCCCCTTCTTCCCAAAAGCAATGTAGAGGTATTTAGACAGATATTTTCCAGCTGAACAAGTGGAAGGGTACTGGAATCCCACAAATTTCTTTAAAAAATATCAAGCTAGTGTTATGAAGTACCCAACCCACCCATTAGTTACAGAACGTGCTGTAAAGGCAACATGAAGTTGGGGAGAGTGGGGGACAAGATGCTTGGTGAACCAAGCTGGGTGGAGGCCGTTCTGCCACAGAATACACAGACTAGCATACAGAAGGACATAGCCATCTCAGACTTACCCACCTAAGCAGCCTTCAGTACTCCTTGATATTAACTCTTGATCTTTCAGCTAAGCAATAGTACTTACTATGGACAGACATTCAAAAAGCCCGAGTCTGAATGGATTCAATCTTTGCAGGTTAGTCTAAAGATTAACGGGGGGGTGCTGTTCAGTCCTAGGGGGGCTCTTCCCCCTCCTCCTCCTCCCCCTGCTCCCACCCCTGCCACCGAGGGGTGGGGAGAGGGGGCTCTATGCAGGCTGCCCTGAGGAAGAGTCCCCATTTGGGGACATTGCATGGAGCCCACACTCCCCACCCCTCGGTGGGGGAGAAGAAGCAGGGGAAGACAGGAGGGGGGCTCTATGTGAGGCTGCCTGGCCCAACCCCAGCCCTAGAGGGGGATTTTTCCCCCTGCTATTCATCCCCCTCCCCGTGCGGCAGGAGGGGGATCTGTGCAGCACTGCCTAGCCAGGGTATGGGGAGTGGCTGTAAAAGCCTCAGCCACAGCCGCAGCTGCAGGCGCAGGGGGTTTCGAGCCGGGAAAGAGACTCCTGCCAGGGCTGGGAAGCATTGCATAGAGCCCCACCCCCCACCCCAAGCCCTGGGGAAGGTGGAGGGAATAGGAGCAGTCCTCCCCAGCACCCAACAGAGTCCCCCTTCCTGACCCTGGGGGGAGGAGGAGGAGGGGAAAGAGTCCCCCCGCAGCACAGAAGAGAGCCCCTCTCCCTGCCCCGCAGGACAACTGTCCAGGCATGGCACCATTAAGGTGAAGGGGGCAAGGAGAAGGGTTAATTCCTCCCTCTGTCCCTTCTGGTCCCTTCTGTCCTGCAGCTGGGGTCTGCCAGCCCCAGGGGCCACTGCCACAGCCCCCTCCCCTGTGCTCCCCAGCTGACAGGCAGACCTCAGCTGCAGTGGGGAAGAAGAGAAAGGAGGGAAAAATTAATCCCCTTCCTGTCCACTTTGCCTTAACAGGGCCATCCTGTCCGGTGTTTCCCCATCTCTTGTCCCTACTTTGGGTAGAGAGCAGAGGGGAGGGGCCAGCCCAGCTCTGCAGCAAAGCAGAGCCCTGCCCAGCGAGGACACCAGGATGCTGGGGGTCTCTGGTTTATCTTAAACCAGCAAGGGGTCTGGGACAGACATTGCATAAACCAGTTTGAGCCAAATCAGTTAAGTCTGATACTACATTCAACCAGGTTTATTGCAAACCAGTTTCAGCCATTTTCAAACTGGTTTATGTGCACTGAATGTTTTTTCTGTTACAGATTTAAACTAGTTTCTGATGTGTAATGTCTGTCCCCAGCTGCAGTGTCTCAATTCGGCAAAGCTTTCAAGCACACATGTAGAAGCTAATATGCAAAGGCTTAAGGCGCACTGCTGAGCTGGCACCTGGGTTATCTAATAGGTGACTTCAGTGCCACTTTATCAAAATAGTGAAGCAGATGGCAGCAAATCTTTAACAGGGCACACAGGGTCAGATCCCCAGCTAGTGTAAAACAATATAGATTCATAGGGTTTTTTTAAGGCCAGAAGGACCATTAGATCATCTAGACTGGCTTGCTGTATAACACCATCTGTAGAATCACAGCCAGTTACTGCTATATTAAGCCTAATAATATGTTTTTGACAAGTGTAGGGCAACTGACTTCCATGGTGCTCCACAGAAGCACAATAGATTTGTCCCATAGACTTCAATAGCCCTAACCACAGGTAGCAGTATACATGGTTAATACTATACATCCCATTCCTCTAGGTGCAGCTAGTGGGCAAACCATTAAGCTATTCCATGATCAATAAGACAAAGAACATTAAGACAGCACAAAGAAAACATTGCCTGCATAGTATCATCTGTAAATTCAGTGTTTATGGGCTCAAAAGGGCATAATACCCCCTTATTAAGAGCCTTACATAATGATTAGGTATGCTTTTCAGGGTAATTCAATGAATACGAATTTGAGTCTTGACTGCTGGAGAAAAAAAGGGGTAACTTTCCAAAAATTAAAACCTAAACCACAGCTTCAGCGTCCCCTGCAAAATAGCCACCAATGGAAACAGCTGATAATCACAAAAACATATTAATTAAGAAACACAAAGCAGCGGCATCTTACCTGTTTTGGGATTGATTACGAAGAAGTTTTGAGGGTTTCCACTTGTAATCCTATAGATCAGTTTTTCATTGGTGCTGGAGTCAGGATCCTCAGCCTGGATTTGAATGACAGATACATCCTTAGGGGAGTTTTCCATGACAGCTGGGTAATAAATGGGTTCTGAGGTCAGAGGAGCATTGTCATTCACATCCTCAACTTCAACATAGACCTCAATGGTAGTGTAGAGGGGGACAACACCCCGGTCAGTTGCATACACTGTTAGCCAATAGGATTTGGTTGTCTCTCGGTCAAGAACATCAGCCGTGTAGATAACTCCTGTAGAAGAAGTACAGTATCTCAGGTTATTCAAGAGCAATTACGATAATAAAAAATCACATCTTCATTATAATGCATCTCAGAGGTTACTGTGAAAATGTATTTAGATGTATAAAATGAATCATAGAAAACTTAACAGAAACAAATATACACATGGACATAATGACCAAAATTTGTCTCTCTGATCTCTGTAGAAATCCATCACATTCTCCCTTATCCACCAGGAAAGAATACCACTCACTCCACCTAGTAAAAACAGCATCAGGTTTCCTAACCATCCCTACCACTGTAGTAATCAGGGGTGTTTCATCAGGTGACACGTTTCATGTTGTTGATTTTTGAAGATGCATTGTATGGGATACATTTTTCTCTACTGGACTTTAGTTGTATAGTGATGCCAGTGCAGTAGCAGAGCCCGGTTGACAATATAAGCATAAGCTGATGAGGGCTTGCCCAGCTTGGGTATCCTATTAGAGCTCCAGAGGTGAGAGTTGAGGTGCTGCTCAACATTGACACCAGTCAAGCCATTCAAATATGTGGTCATTTGGGCTTAGGAGTCAGAGGGAGCCAGATATGAATGCTAGTCACATCAGTCTCTTGCATGCTGTTGGCAGCCAAACGCTGTGTGCCTTTCCCATACTAATCCAGTAGGCCCTCTAGGCACAGGTGGACCATGACTGATTGACTGAGATGCATTGCCAGACTCTAAACAAATGGAGCTGCTGGTCTTCTGCCACTTTAGAATAAGACCCATGTTCAAACCCTGCTGCTTCAAAGCCTTTTACCCTCCCCTACCTTTCAGTTCACCTAAGGCAATTAAAAAATCCTGTCTTTTCACATTGAAGACACCATCATCAATCACACCGACTTCAAGAAAGGCAGCCATGTCTTTTACACTGTGAATGTTTTGAGTCACGTGCAAAAGACTCTTATATCAACCCAGACAGGAGTATCTACAATCGAAGCACTCACTGACTTCAGTACAGGCCTTGAGTAGACACTGCATCAGATATACTGTAACAGTGCATCATATGTACCAATAATGATATCAAAATAAACACAGTTAGCTGTACTTCTCCACCACTTTCTCGATGTGTATATAAAGAAAGCTTTGCTCTCCTAACCCAGAATGAAACTCGTGTAGGACACACCAATATAGTTGATCTCAAGGACAACATATATTAAGAGGGACAGCCAAGAGAAAGGCAAGTCATGCTACTAATAGAAAGAAATTAGTGAAGTAGCTGCAAGGCAATATGGTGACATAAGGAACTTGGATTTGAGTTGTAGATGCATTTGTTGCTAGTTAAACAGTTTAAACACATCAATTTATCACTTGGGAGAGAAAGAGAAGCTCATGGGCCAGCACTAATGGAGTATTTTTGATTGCAGCATGGTGGACACAGCATTTCTATAGCAGCCTGAAGTCTTACTAAGTGTGAAGTTTAGCAGAAGAGCTGAAGGATAAATTAAGGGCTGTGTCTGTGCCCCGAGGCATGCACTATTCATTTCTGATGAAGGCTGGTCCATGAAGGCTGGGTTTTCTCCAGGAGGAGCAGGACAGGAAAACCCTGCTTTAGACAGAATTTTTGGTGCAAGGTGTGTGCTTTCTCTGGGACATCTACCAGCCTTTAAATGGGTTCTGCCTGATTCCCCCAAACGTAGTTTTTTGGCCTTTGTGGAAAGGGATTATGCCTATAGTCTCAGTCCTGCAACAGCTAGTACTGTGGCTACCTTGAAGAAATTGTTGTGTTCACCAGTGTCTTCAGGCACTGTCCTCAAGGAGATATAAAAACATCAGGAGAAGAGAGAGATTTATCGTGTCACCTCCCTCTGGTCTTACACACATACAAAGGGCAGCTATTAAGTAAGACTTCAAATACAGAGCATAAAATTATGCCATGTGTTCAATTCTAAAACTGGAATACAGAAATCAGGTCAAAAGTGCTCTTTGTACATTGTGTGTTACACACAGGACCAGCTGTGAAGTGAAGTTACTTTAGAAGTAAAAATAAAACAGGATTTAATTTCATGTTCATCCAGTTGTTCGATGAGCAGCTCTGAAAGTATATCCATGCAGGAAGGACCTTATCACATGCTCACCTGCAACAGTTGCAACTCACTGGAGCCTGTTAGTGTTAGGTGAGAACCCTCACTGAAAGGGAATAATTTTGCAATCCCACAAGGGCACCTCACGTGTGAAGCGCATGCATTTTAGTTGCACTCTGAGGTGCTTTGGGTTAGGGTTCAAGGCAGAAGAGGGGAAAGGGACCTATTGGTGGGAGTCTACTATAGACTGGAGCTCGGCAGTCTCTGCAAGCATCTGCCTGGCTTCTGTTCCCCCCACTGCCCTCCTCACTCTATGCTAAGCAATCCTTCCCCTGCCCCCTCTTCCTGTTCTTATCAGAAACTCTCTGAGATGGAGGGAGGCAGAGAACAGCCCCACAGTTGCCAGGCCAAAAGCCTGTGCTAGGCAGAAGCTTCCAGTAGGGTAGGGTAGGGGTGGGGCCTGGGGTAGGATGGGGCCAGGTGGGCCTTGCTGCTGCTAATGCTGGGTCCTGATGGTGGCTCCTCCTGGGTCCTGCTGCCACTGGCACCTTATCATCTTTGACAGGCAGCCATGGGAAAACAATAATTAATTTTCTAATTTTTTTAGGGGCCCCACAGGCAAGGTACAATGGCCTGGTGGGCCAGATCCAGCCCGCAGGCTGTATTTTGTCCACCCCTATATTAATTTGTCCCCTAAGATTCCCAGCAATGGCCCAGATTCCTCAGGTGGGGTCCAAGGGCTAGAATCTGGCCCTTGCAGCCTGGCTGTATATACATCCAACAGACAAGGGTTTTTCTCTGGCATAAATCAGCATTTCCTATCATCAAGGCATGCTGGAGTATCAGCTGGAAGTGCAGCACAGTCCTGCTCCGCTTGGTATTAATTGAGATCCTTTCAAGGGTGCCACGCAATGTCAGCAGTGTTAGGTGTGCAAACATGAGTCAGATGATAAAGCCAGAGATTTCAAATAGAAATCCATGGTGATAAAAACCTTATGCCCTGTTGTGATCTTTCCGAGTTCTCTGCAACCCAAGAATCACCCTATTATTTTTCTATAGTCGAAAAAGTGAAAACTAAGAGCTGGAATTTTTCAGTGAGTGTCTTGTGTCTATCCAAGGATGCTTTGAGTCTAAAAAAGGTTAAGAGCCACTGAACTGGAGTAATCCCCACACTAAAGAAGATGCAGCTTGTGAATGGAGAGAGTCACTATACTTGCACATTGCTCTAGTGAGCTCTGCTTAGTGTGGGGGAGAATACTGGGCCCAACCAGCACATTTACAGAGGATTGTAAAATGTGAATGTCTGGCCACTGGGACACAAACTGTGTCTGTAGACTAAATTCCACTGTTTGAAAACTTCTGAATATTACAACCCCATTTTTTGTTGGGGCAGCCCCATCTGATAAGGGTAATCTGCACTTCAATGAAACACATGGAGCGAAGAGTTTGAATTAATATGAATTTCAGCAATGCAAAAACTCAGTCTTTTAATAGTGATCTCAGGTCCTTGTCTTTGTTGATCAGATATACTATACATCAAAAAAAAAAGTGAATAGTGTATCAGTCCAGGACAAAGGAAGTGTGTATTCTAAGGTACTCATGTCAGCAAGCTCTGCTACATAATGACTTTTTGTAGAAACATGGGTAAAATATGTAGTGAACTGTGATAAAAATACCTAGAATCCAGAAGAGGAATTGCGCTCTGTGGATGAGAAAAGCCCATAATAAACAACAAGCTGTGGAAATAAATAAATAAATCTAGGCAGGAAAGGATAAGGCAAAAACGATGAACAACAATGGCAAGAAAGAAGCTGATTTATGAAGATGATAGGAAGAATTGTTTTAAGTTCTTTAAACAGGAGAGCAGGGAAGGTGCTGGAGAATTAACCACTGTTTATGAAATTTAGTTCCACCAATATTGAGCTGATGATAAATACATTTTGCTGAGTTCTTTCTGCACTTTGACTGCTGGCAGTAGTTACTCTACACTTCTGCATTTTAGAGAAAAAGGATCGTGAAACAAGTGTTGGCAATTGCCAACAGGTCTGCTGAACTGCATTTTTTGGGGAAAAAAATAACCCTTTGATTTATTAAAAGGCTCCAGCTACAGATTAATTTCCTTTGCTCAATATTTCTTGTCATTTCACCTGCCATGAAATGGGAGCTTGACAAATAGATTAAAATTTTATCTGCATTCATTTGTAGGCTTTCCAAGCATGGTAGCCTCCATAGCCTCACCTGCCATGATTGTTTGGAAAGACGCCCAACAGTATCCTCAAATGAATTACAGCAGCTGCCTCCATACCTAATAAAACAATAAGTGCTTCCATGGTCCCACAAATAAGCTCCACTGGGTTCCCCATGCCTACTGAAGACAGTGGAAGTGTCTCCTCTGATTCCACTAGGCTTTAGACTCGTGCCCCAGTGTACATCAGACACCCTCCAGCAAGGGTGTCAAACACAGATGTGGGTCTTCTGTCCCACAGGACTTCTCTCTGGCCAGAAAACTCACTTCTGGATCTGGTGTGCACTAGCATGACCAGCATTCATATGGTTAAGCCCACCACTTCCCTTACCCTCTGCAAAATGTCAAGCTTTCAATCACCCTTCAGCATACATGCTGGCTGTGCTGACACAGTGGATCTAGCAGCTGTGTCAACAAGCCACACAATCCAGATGAAGAGGTGGGTCATTTAGCCCATGAGAACCCTATTGTCCAGATTCAGCCCCCCAACTCATTTGAGTTGGCATCCCTGCTCTCTAGGTTCTTCTTAGAGGTGCGGTCCCAACTGAAACTTTCATCACAAACAGGACTTTAATAAGTAGAATAGAATAGAAGTTAAAAAGATTAACTTCCATGATTATCAAAAACTGCCAAAGCATGAACTAATGTTACGTCATCTTCCTGTACCTCTAGACTAAAACTAGCCTTAAGAAAGGTGGCCAAGAGT